ATATATTTATATATATCTTGATTGATATTATGTTTTTCACAGTAGACGTCTCCTGATGTTGATCCTTTGATCGGCCCCTTTGAAAAAGCTCTCCAATTCATCCGTACCGACGATCGATTCCCTCTTGCACCAGCGCCGGCGTTTTTCCGGCGGGGGTTTTCTGGGCGCCGGCGGGCAGACGAGGGCCGCCGGGATCATCATAGATTTTGGTGTGCAGCAAGAAGCAGCAGCTAATAAATCTTGTCCGGTTTGTTCTTCTTCTTCTTCGCTGGCATCAGATTTTGTGTGAGGGATAGTAATAATTTTGATAATTGGGAGAAGGGTTGTTGTTAATTGAAGATCTGCTGCAGACATGACTTTTTTTTTGTGTTAATGGCGGAGATCAATCAATGGGAGCTGAGAGAGAGAGAGAGAGAGAGAGAGAGAGAGAGAGACCCACTATTCTTTCTTTCTTACCTTTTATTTATTTATATATATTGATTGATTGTTGCGTGGGTGGGAATTGGTGTTCAAAAGTTTTAATCATTTTATTAATTGATTTTTAGGGAATTTTTGTTTTTATCCGACCATAATAGAGGTGAAAATATTTTATTAAAAAAAAATGTTGGAAGAAAAATAGAATGAGACAATGATTAAGATGAGATATTGAATTGAATTGAAAATGTATGTATTTAAATTACAAAAAAGTTGAGTGTGATAGTGAAATTAGGAGAATATGACTGCAGAATTTATTTATTTTTTTTTTAAACGACATATTTTATAAAATAAAAACAGATAATACAACTAGACATCAACCAGAATAAGCCAAGCTGACACCACTACAAGAAGAATTACCATATTCCAACGTAAAATCATACAGTAATATATTCCAGTGGAAATTGGAAGATATTCCAATGGTATAACTTTCGCTGCAATGATTCCAAACGAGATTATTCCGTTTTGAATATGAGTTTTCTATTGGAATTTAAGTGGAATTTTAAAATTTCAACGGTTATTATTTCAATGGTTTTTTTACCGTTGAAATTTCCGTTAGAATTTCTATTTTCACTCATATTTCAACCGTTAGAAAATATTGTACCGTTGGAATCGTCAAAATCTAACGAATATTCTAATGAAAAACTCATTGCAACATATTATTTTTGTAGGAATCCATTAAAAATTTATTCCAAAGGAAATAATAGCATTGTAATATCTATTGGAATATATTTTCATTGGAATTTTTCATTGAAATTTCATCACATTTTTGTAGTTCACCGAGCTGAATCTAACTAGAAGACTACACAGAGAAGTGCATCCTAGAAATAGGCACCCTAACTCACCCACTACACAACTAATTAAACATTCTCACAAGGAGAAAATCAAACATCTAAAGAGAAGAATCAAACTTCTATTCTCTAAATTAAGAACAATTTTTACTATTAAGATGAAAATTGGCATAATATGTTTGGAGTAAAAAATAAAATATATATATATATATATATAGAAATTACTTATGTATTATTAAGGTGTAATTTTTTAAATGTCAAGTTGACCATCTCATATTTTCCATTCTATAACATTTCATAGTTGAAATACATATACATTAAAAAAAAAAAAAAAGTTATACCATGTGGTTATAATCAAAATTATTATGTATATAAATAATTATATTCCACATGGGAAAATATGATGATCATGTGGAGTAAAAGGAGGTTTGTATTTCTTTATTCTTACACAAGAGAAGAAGCAAACTTTTGGAACATGTCTATGTCATCAACTGTTTGCTTGCTTTCTTTCTTTCTTTGGACTCCTTAAATTTGCAAATCTTTGGCTTTTTCCTCAATAATATAGGTTGCATGTTTTTGGACACATGAGATGAGATGGCAGCTGCTGCTGCTTCCACAGTACTACTCTTCTTAAAAAAAGGGTTTCTAGCTTGCTTCCATATCTGTCAAGGAGAATATAATTTTTCATGTGCTAACATTTTAATGGTCTAGCTGTTATGCCAGTTAACTCAATCATTTTTTTTTTTTTTTTTTAAATA